GAGGGAAAAGAAGACAGGTAAAGGGGGAGGAAAAAGGGGATGGGGAAAGGGGTTTGGGGAAAAGGGGTTTGGGGAAAAGAAGAGAAGGGAAAGGGGTGGCAGAAAGGGAATTGGGAATGACATGAGGGAAAAGGAGATATGGAAACGAGGAGGGAAAAGAGGATGGGGAAAAGAAATAGAAGAAATGGGGATGAGGACAGGGAGATGAGGGAGGAGGACAAGGGCAGGGAGAGGAAAGGGAGCAAGGAAGGAGGTGAGAAGGGGAAAGAGAAAGGGGATAGAGTTCATCCTGTGTCTCTAGAACCCATCTGCCAACTTCCTGCAAGACCTGCTGCAGCCCAGCTCCACATCCCAGCCAAGCCAAGCAGGACCCCACAAACCCCTCAGCACCCTCCCAGCTTCCCCAAAACCTCACTCCTCCTGCTCTTTCTCCTCCAGCGTCCGCCTCTTCTCCATCAGGTCCCCGTAGAACCGGGACTGCTCCCGTTTCTGCTGCTTCAGGTCGATGCCGGCGATGAAGCCGCGGCCCAGCAGCTGCACTTGGTGCCTTTCCTTGTACCTGGAGCAGGGTGGGTGCATCAGGAGCAGGGCTGGGGGCTGCCTTGCACCCCTCAGGGACACCCCCAGCCCTAGGGGCACCCCAGCACTCACAGGGGGTTGTAATCGATGGACGTGTCCTCCGACGCATCCCACTCAAACACAAACTTGCGGTCGTTGAGGTGCCGCGTGCGCCGCCGCTTCTTCACCCCGCCCAGGTACCGCTCCTGCAGGACCCCAGGCTCAGCAAGACCCCCTAATCCTTCCCCCTGGCCCCCCAGACCAGCCCCCAGCCCCACCTTGATGGCGTGAAGCTCTTTGCTTTTATCCTTCTCCTCCCGGATCTTCTGCCTGCCCTCCTCATCCTCGGTGCCGTTGGTCTCCCGCTCCATGCGCTCGCGGCGCTCCCGGCGCTCGCGCTCCTGGGGGTCTTCTGGGGAGCAGGGGAAGGGGCTCAGAGCCAGCACCCACCCCGAGGGCTGGGGAGGRGCTCCAGGGATGAATCTTTACCCAGCATCTTCCTGCCCATCTCCTGGAACTGCTTCCTYTTCTTCCTCTCCTCCTCCAGCAGCCGCTGCCGCTCCTCCACCTCCTGCTGCCGCCGCCGCAGAGCCTCGGCCTCCCGCTCCGCCTTGGACAGGAACTTGGGCTGGGGTGGGACAGAGAATGGTCACATTCATGGCCTGGCTGCCACCCCTGTGCTGMTGGGGGTCCCCTCAGCCTTCTCTGCTCCTTCCTGGAGTCCCCCAAGCCTCCCTTTTCCTTCCTGGGTTCCTCTTCTCCCTCGCTGGATGCCCCAGATTTCTCCACTCCCTCTCAGGGGTCTCTCTGCTCCCTTCCCATGTCCCTCAGCCCTCCCTCCTTCCTTCCTGGGGTCTCTCTGTGCCCCTCACCGGACCCCTCAGCCTTTCCAATTCCCTCCCAAGGTCCTTCTGCTCCCTCTTGGGGTACACCAAACCTCTCCTCTCCCTCCCATGTCCCCACAGCCCCTATGTGCTCTCCCTGGCCCACCTGCCCCATACCCTCCCAAGTCCCTCAATCCTCCCTTCTCCATCCCATAGCTCCTCACAGTGTCCCCATGCACTCCCTGCTTCCTTCTTGGAGTCCCTCTGCACCCCCAAGTTTCTCAGCCCTCCCTGATCCTTCTTAGAATCCCTCCTGCAAACATCCACACCCCCACCAGAGAGAAGAGGCTCCTGTTCCTGCTCCCACCTTGGCTTCTGCCTCCTCTTCTGCCTTCTTCTTTGCCAGCAGCTCCTCCAAGGACAGCGGCTGCGCCTGGAAGCAGGCCCGGGTGTCAGCACCATTTCTGGAGACCTGGATCTCTCTGGAGCCATTCCCCAGGGGCCTCGATCCCCTTGGATCCCCTCCTCACCTTCTCCTTCTTCAAGGCATTCTCCTCCTCTTCCTCCGCTTTCCGTGCATCCCGATCCTTCCGAGACTTGGAATCCTTCCCCCTGCCTGGGGACAAACTTCCAAGAAAAACAGCACGAAATCAGACACTGGACACAGGCCTGGAGGATCCCCAACCTCCAAGGGGTTTAGGAAAAAGAAGAAAAGCTTCAAAAAAGCCACAGGATCCACCTGGATCGCTTGCGGTCCTTGTCCCGMCGGTGCCCATCCTTGTCCCTGTCCCGCTCCTTCTTGCTGCGGTCACGGTCCCGCTCCTTGTGCCGCCGATCCCTGTGCAATGGGGGGATCATAGCATGACCCCAGAACCCTCACTCGCCTCTATGAGGCCGTCAAAGCTCTTCCCAAAAAGCCAAAGAGTCCTGGATCCCCCCCTCACCTCTCTGTGGACTTGGAGCGGGACCGGGAGCGYGAGCGGCTCCGTCTCCGGTCCCGGGATCGGTGTCGCTTCCTATCCTTGGCCGGGGAACCTTTGCGGTCCCGGTCCCGCTCCCTCTCCCGGTCTGGGGAGCGRGAACGTTTCCTCTCCTCCTTCACCGGGGATGCATCCCGATCCTTCTTGTCYGCCAGTTCTCCGGCCATCTGTGGGCAGGGGTCAGATGGGGGGACACCGGGGAGGCTCGGGCGGTGCGGGGAGGAGACTTGGGGTGCAAGGGGGGGACCCAGGAGAAAGAAGGAAGAGCTGGAAGACCCAGGAGAGCCACAGAAAGACCCCAAAAAGGTGTGGGGAGGTCTGAAAGACTTCCGAGAGGAAGTGGGGAGGCTTTGAAAAACCCGGGGAGGGAACAGAGAAATGCCAGAAAGGAGCAAGAGGAGCTGGGAAACCCGAGGAGGGTGCAGAGGGACCCTCAGGAAGGAGCGGGGAGGTTTGGCCGATCCCCGAGATGGCACAGAGGGACCCCAGAAAGAGCTGGGAAGTTCCGAGGAGAGAACGTGGAGGGAAGGAGAGACCCCGAGAAGGCACAGGGAGGACCGTGAGGTGAGCGCAGAGAAGCCTGAGGGATCCCGAAAGGGCTCCGTGAGGCCCGGGGGACGCGGCGCAACGGGCTTSAGGCCCTGCCCTCGGTGCTCACCACCGGGGCTCTGCCCGGTGCCGCGGCAGCACAGCCCTCCACCCCCCCGGCCCCTCGGAGATCCCCCGGAGGTTCCTGCCGTGCCCTTCGCTCCGCTCCCGCCGTTCCCCCGCTCACCGCCGCAGCCCCGGGTTCAGCGCCTCCGCTGCGCCGCCGCCGCCATGTCTGCCGGGTCCGCGGGGCACGGCGGGACGGCGCGGGACTACAGATCCCGGCAGCCTTCGCGGCGCTGGACTACAACTCCCAGCACCCCCCGCGCGTTGTTAAATCTGCGTTCCGCGATCCCTTTGCCGCGTAGCGAGTCCTCCTCCGCCACCGCAAAGAGTCCTCTGGGACGGTGTCCCCGGGTCCCCGCGTCCCCCACATCCCGCAGGGACCTCCTTCGCACCCAAATGAGGCCCCCGGGGCCGTGTCCCCGCGGTCCTGAATACCCCAGATCCTGGAGGGACCTTCCCSAGYYAGTGTCCCCCATGTCCCTGCAYACCCCAAAYCCCACCAGGACCCCCCCAGGGCARTGTCYCCWCAGCCYTGTGTACCCCMARCTCAGATCAGYGTCCCTGCMGGAGCCCCAGACACTCAYTGCATCCCCATTCRCAAGATACGGGGGTCCCAGGCAGAGTTTGGGGGCAGCAGAAGAGGTGGGGGGACATTAGCAGCCCCCCAAAGACACCCCACCCCAAGGATTTTGCCTTCTGCACGAGCACCCAGGGGTCACAGCACAGCCCCAGGTCACTGTCACCATCATCAGTGACACCAACACACCCCCCAAACTCCCAACATCCTCCAAAAACCAGCATCCCTCCCCAAAATAAAGAGTCAGGCAGGACTGCACGTAGATAGGTGTTATATTTCTGATAATAAATAAGCTTTTTAATAACACTGACATGGAACAGAGACACCCCCCCGCCCCAAAGATAGTCCATAAAACAGCCCCCCTCCCCCACCCCAAACCCACCGGGGTCCCCCAGGGCCAAGCAGCAGATGAGGGATGGGGTAAAGGGGGAGAAAACAGGATGAGTCCATGGATGAGCCCCATGATGTGCACCCCAAACCCCACAGGGATCCCCAGGACAGTGTCCCTGTRKCCCCCAAACCCCACAGGGACCTCCCCAGGCTGACATCCCTGAGGGTCTGGGCACCCCAAACCTCACAGGGACCTCCCCAGGTCGATGTCCCCAGGGTCCTGCATACCCCAAACCCCACAGGGACCTCCCCAGGGTGACTCCCTGAGGGTCTGGACACCCCAAACCCCACAGAGACCCTCCCCGGGTCGATGTCCCCAGGGTCCTGCATACCCCAAACCCCACAGGGACCCCCCCAGGCTGATATCCTTGAGGGTCTGGGCACCCCAAACCCCACAGGGACCCCTCCAGGTTGATGTCCCTAAGGGTCTGGGCCCCCCAAACCCCACAGGGATCCCCCTGGCTCGATATCCTTGAGGGTCTGCACACCCCAAACCCCACAAGGACCCCCCCAGGCTGATATCCCTGAGGGCCTGGGCACCCCAAACCCCACAAGGACCCCCTCAGGTTGATGTCCCCAGGGTCCTGCACACCCCAAACCCCACAGGGACTCCCCCGGGTCGATATCCTTGAGGGTCTGGGCACCCCAAACCCCACAGGGACCCCCCTGGGTCGATATCCTTGAGGGTCTGGGCACCCCAAACCCCACAGGGACCTCCCCAGATCGATGTCCCCAGGGTCCTGCACACCCCAAATCTCCCCCAGGTCCCCCCTTTTTTCACAGGAGGGCAGCAGCCCCTCATCCTCCTCGGGGTGGGGGCCCTGTCCAGCCCCACCACCCCATTCCAGGGACTCGGGGGGCTGGGGTGGGGGTAGAGCAGACCCAAAGGTGTGTGTGTGTGTGTGAGTGTGTGCGGGGTCATTCCCGTGCCCCCCTTCACATGATGGAGCAGCTTTTTGCTTTTTCCTTCTTGAAAGTGGARGAGATGAGCTCGGAGCGGCTGGGGAGGTGCAGAAGTCTCTTGGAGAGGCTCCGGGGTGGGCTACGAGGGGGCTGCGAGGGGGCTTTGCTGAGGCAGATGCCGGACACGGTCCGGAAGATGCTGTGGACGCTTTTTTCCGAGGTGAAGGCGGA